AAAACACCACCGTGCAAACCGCCATCCAGTTGTGAGCCAGATGTCAGGATCCTGAATTTTGGATTTTTATGGACAACAAGAAGTGTCTGGCATTGCTGGTACTGTCAATGAACACGCAAGTTTTAGTCATGTCTATGTATTTGGCTGGTCTGCTTTCTCCAAACTAATCTAAGTATTGTGCATGTCTGACTGACGAACACGTGGACAAGTGCATATGGCAGGGAGGACAGAGGTTGTTAGTTTCTCTAAATTTGGCAGGTAGTTGGAAACAGACAGGATGAATGTCAAATATAACACACACATTTGGTAAGCAACTAATATCACAGACAATTCATTACACCTCTGCAAATTAGTTGTGTTGCATGTTAATCTAAGTTTTATGTTGGTCCAAACTAGATCCTTATGGACCTCATTCTGCTAGCCTTTGTTCATGAGAGTAGTGTCAATGACTACAGTGGAATTACTCACACAAATAAAGGTTGTAATATCAGGCCCCTGTGTTTGAGGCCTCCTTCATGCATGGGAAGTATTGACTCCTAAACCCCAGTGAGGAACACACAAGTGATAATGTGAACTGTAAAGGCAAAGCTGTTACCTAGGAAAGGGAAGATTCTCCAAGTAATAAGTTTTTCACTGCATCTATCTGCAGATTGTCCAGAAAGCCTTGGACGATGCCAGGAAGGGTCGAACCTGCATTATTATTTCTCACCGCTTGACAACCGTCCAGAACGCTGATGTCATAGCAGTGATTCATAATGGAAAAGTAGTGGAACAAGGGACTCACAGCCAGCTGCTGGCAAAGGAAGGACATTACTATGCACTTGTAAATGCACAAGTTTCTCATTAACATTAATGTTACAAACTAATCTATTTGTATAAATACACACACAACCCACAGCTAAGTAATATTAAAGATACACCTCATTCCTGAGATGTCTGCAGGTTCAATACACAGGCATGTAGTAAAAAACAGAGGAGACGAGACATTTATTTTTATCTTGTGTCACAGCTTTAGTGTACTTAATCCTATTGGTAAAATCCTTTGGGGCGTGTTGGTTAATTTTAAACTGCTGTTATATTAATGATTACAAGCCTTTAATGGAAATATATATTGACAAAATATATCACAAACTGTTTGTTTATAAATTATTGTTCAAACCTATTTTATTGACCTAACAGAACTTACTGGTTCTTTTGAAACCATTAAGGCTATTTCAAAAAGACTTAATTATTTTAATTGGCCCAATGACCATGATGGCTCCTTTTGGAGCTGATTAATGTCAACATTGTAAATAGCTATTTA